TAAGGAAAAATAGATTGTAAAGCCTTATCTTTTTATTATTATTTTTCTTTTCATATATGTCATGGATTAAGTTTTTTTCTGGTTTTTTCTTGATTTTTTTGTTAGGTAATAAAGTGGGTGGCACTCGACTAACTTGTGATTACGACATTAGTCAAGTGCCAGCCACTTGAATAATGGATCAAAACCTATATATTATAACACTTTAGTATGTGTAAGGCCAAAAAAATTGAGATTATAACAACTTAGTGTGAGTAAGATAAAAAAAATAAAAAAAAATAATAGACATTGTTTTATTTGGGCTCTAGTTGATGTAATGGATTAAATAGGCTTTGTGTGACTCCTAGCTGTTTGAAGTAGCTATAGTAACTTCTGAATCTCATACAATACTAGTACAACACCCGTGTATTACACGGGTGCTTACTAATTTTTTTCTTAAAATTTAAAATTAATGAGAAAAAGTAGTTTGAAAATTTAAATACCTTTTATAAGAATATATATATTATTATATATTTATTATGATACTTTTTATTTGTGCGACTTACTTGTGTTATATTATACTAATTTTTTAACTTACAATATATAACTAAATTAAATATAAATATATCAATTGAGAAATAATTTTATTTTTCTAATGAATTTTAATAAATATTATTATTTTTTGTTATTATAAAGATAAATATAATTTATTTATGTTATATATACAATATGGATGTCAAATCGAAGATCATCAAGAGATGATTAATTTGATATATTATATATGTAAAATCGATAAGAAATACAAAGATTATCTACTTTTTAAATACATTTATAATCCATTAGCTTATTGAAGGAAGCAAATCAAAATTTAGGGATATATTAGTCACTTAGTGCCTCATTATGTAAAATTACAAAGAATTAAAGGGTTATATTAGTAAAAGTGATATTAAAATACCTAAGTTAGCTAAATAATATTTATGGAATACCCGAACCTAGATTATTAATTATTAATATATTAATATTATTTGTCCAAACCTAATTACGGAGCATGATTCTTCGCCAAATAGGATTCTAAAGCACCAGAAGCAGCCACGTAGGCTCAGCGCATTCGAGAATTATATATAGGGAGGATTTGTGTATCTTGAAAGTTTTCATACTTATAAGGGATTAGAAAGTTCAATCTATGCATGCAATATCATATCATGTAGCACAACAAATAACATCATGAGAAGAATTGTTGTATATACATAAGGGATTTAAAAGAGTCTGAGTTGAGCTCAATCGAGCTTCTAATACTCGAGCTTGAGTCTTTATTGAACTAAACTTTTAGCTAAACGAGTCGATAAACAAAATTAAACTTGTTATCAGTATAATTGAGTCGAACATAACTCTAAAAAATCCCATCAAAATCTCTACTTTCAAGCCTTAAAATATATAGGCAATAATAAAAATTACACTGACACTGATAAAATATAAAGACAATTACCCATTAGCCCTTTCCACAATCCAAGATAAAAACGGGGTTAAAAATCCTCAAAACAACTCGCTAATCCTCGCGTTATTAACCATTTGGGAAAAAAAAGAAAAAGAAATTATAGTTATATATAGAAAAATATACAGCTATACAGCACCGCGTATGGGGACGACCGCAGCAAATCACAATCACTCCCCGTACCGTCACTCTTCCTTTTTTTTTTTTTTTTTTATCAACTTTGTTTTCTCAGTAGGCATAAAACTTGGCGAGCTCGCACGGCGACTCCGGCTGAGGATCGGCGTTTTCCAGCATCCACAGGAGGTGCTCGAACAGAACGACTTCGCAACCGATGACGACGGCGTCCTCCTCGCCGCCGCCGCCGGAGCGCCGATCGACGAGCTCACGGAAGAGCGGGCTGTCCACGACGTTGGCGGAGACGAGGTACCTCCGCCGCGACTTCCCGACGTAGACGGGGTACAGGTCCTTTGCGGCGGCGATCGATTCGAACGAGCCGTCGGAGGAGGAAGAGGAGGAGGAGCTCGTCCGGCCGAGCCTGAAGGACTGCATTTTCTTCAGCACGGACTTGATTTTGGTGAGCTTGCCTCCTATCGCCATTGTTGATGAAGGTTTTTAGAGAGAGAGAGAATGGAGAAGGCGTAGTTGTTGTGTGTGTGGGGGATTGTGGTTGAGGTTTGGGGTAACTGGAGAAGAAGGTTGGGTATTTATAGATGGGGTTTGAGGGGAACAAAACTGGTACTGTCAGTTGCGACGTAGAAGGGCTGGAAGGGAAGGGGCCCATTGGGCCAGGCCCAAAAGTTTGTAGTCTGGTAATGTTGGTTGCCACTTGCGACTAGTGCTGTTTAATTAAACGAGTCTGGATCGGCTCGTTAAGGCTCGAGTTTGGCTCGAGTCGTTTGATAAACGGCCGAGCTCGAACTCATTTAAAGCTCATCGAGCTCGGCTCAGCTCGAAAAGATAATTTTTGTATAATTTTCTATATTTCAGCTCGTTAAAATTTGAGATCGACTTGTAATAAGTGTTAAACGAGCGAGCTCAAAATCGTTTACCTAACGAGCCGAGGCGAGCCGAGCTCGACTCGGCTCGTTTATAGCCCTACTTGCGTTCTTTTTTCGATAAGCGAAGGAGGGCTGGAAGGGAAGGGTATGTAATAATAGGAGGTAGTGATGAGCAAAATCGAGCCAAAGTGATATACTTCGTGCAATGCGATTCAATTTTCTAGGATTGCGATTTGGTGCAGTTCTATTTTATGGTCGAATGGTGCGGTTTTAACCGAACTGCATCTAATAAAGTTTGTGTTATATTACCTATATATATTTGAAGTGAATAAGTTTCACCCGGGCTCCTTCAACTCGAACCGGCCTCCGTACCTACAGAACCCAACGCCGGGAGTGACCCCGGCGTCGGGCCTCCGATGCCTAAGTCAGTGCTCAGATCAAGAGAGAGAAAGTGTAGTAATGTAATGAGGAGAGGATGAGAGAGTGAGGTACCTTGGCCCCCTTTTATTGGGGGAGTGTACCTTTTGGGCCCAAGTTGGGCTTGACCCCTATCGTTGGGCTTAAATGTCTTAGTGGGCTTATCCTCCAATATGTATCCGCTTTATCCATTAAACCGGGTCCAGTATAATATCCTCTATCATCTAGTCCCCCCCACTCTGGTCGAGTAAGCATAACTCGATCCAAGAGTGAAATGCCTCTTCGAGCTGTTTTCTTCAACTTGCCACTAAGATCGAGCATCGAAAGTCGTATGACCATTGAATAACCACTGAAATATCCTCCAAGTGAGCTTTGTGATCTCAAGATCAAAAACCAAAAGACTACGAAGGTCGGAAACCGAATGATCTGACGTCGGGGTCGAACATCGAGTGATCCTGAGGCCGAAAACTGAAAACCGAAAACTGAGAGGCCGCTGAGGTCGAAAACCGAGAGTCGAGACCGCTGAGATCGAAAACTGAGAGTCGAGACCGCGAAGGTCGAAAACCAAGAGTCGGGACCGCGGAGGTCGAAAATCGAGAGTCGAGACTGCGGAGGTCGAAAACCGAGAGTCGAGACCGCGGAGGTCGAAAACCGAGAGTCGAGACCGCGGAGGTCGAAAACCGAGAGTCGAGACCACGAAGGTCGAAAACCAAGAGTCGGGACCGCGAAGGTCGAAAACCAAGAGTCGGGACCGCGGAGGTCGAAAATCGAGAGTCGAGACTGCGGAGGTCGAAAACCGAGAGTCGAGACCGCTGAGGTCGAAAACCGAGAGTCGAGACCGCGGAGGTTGAAAACCGAGAGTCGAGACCTCTGAGGTCAAAAACCGAGAGTTGAGACCGCGGAGGTCGAAAACCGAGATCGAGACCGCTGAGGTCGAAAACCGAGAGTCGAGACCGCGGAGGTCGAAAACCGAGAGTGGAGACCGCTTAGAACTGATAATCGCCGATGTGGTCGAAAGACATAGGCTGAATGACCGCTCCTTGAAATCTTGAATTTGAAAATTTGAATTTACCTATGTTGTGTTTCGATCACCATGTTCGAGCTCTTTTATACCACCTTGCCCTATCACCCCTCAGTTCAAAGTTTAAGATTCAAGTCTGTTGTATATTCCTTTGAAAAATAAATCAACCACCAACCTGCTCAAGCCGTAATGAATATACTCGACCCGCCACTAAAGTCGAAAAATTAATTCGACAGAATTATAATCAAATAAAGCGCAATCAACCTGCTCAAGCCATAATGAATATACTCGACCCGCCACTGAAGTCGAAAAATCAATTCGACAGAATTATAATCAAATAAAGCGCAATCAACCTGCTCAAGCCATAATGAATATACTCGACCCGCCTCTGAAGTCGAAAAATCAATTCGACGAAAGCATAATCAAATAAAGCACAATCAACCTGCTCAAGCCATAATGAATATACTCGACCCGCCACTAAAGTCGAAAAATTAATTCGACAAACCATGATCAACAAACAACCAAACCAGAATCAACAAACAACCTGCTCGAGCAAAAATGAATATATCTGACCCGCCACTGGGATCGAAAAATGATTTCGATAAAACCAGGATCAACAAACAACCTGCTCGAGCAAAAATGAATATACCTGACCCGCCACTAGGATCGAAAAATGATTTCGATAAAACCAGGATAAACAAACAACCTGCTCGAGCAAAAATGAATATACCTGACCCGCCACTGGGATCGAAAAATGATTTCGATAAAACCAGGATCAACAAACAACCAAGCCAGGATCAACAAACAACCTGCTCGGGAAAAAATGAATATACTCGACCCGCCACTGAGGTCGAAAAATAATTTTGATAAAACTAGAATCAACAAACAACCTGCTCGAGCAAAAATGAATATACCTGACCCGCCACTGGGTCGAAAAACAATTTCGATAAACCAGAATCATCCACAAGCTGCTCGAGCAAAAATGAATATACTACCTCCCCTTTAAGTCGAAAAATCCATTTGACGAAACCAGAGTCAAATAAAATCGTCGACCTGCCACTGAGATCGAAAACGTCAAATACCACGAAACCAAATCGAATAAAACCATTAACCTGCTCGAGCTATCTGTAATGAGCTCCATCTCGACCTGCCACTGAGGTTAAGGACAGATATGCAATAATACTAGATCAAACAGAACCAAGTAGAAATCATCGACCTGCCACTGAGGTCTGCTCGAGCTATCCGTAGCGAGTTCGATCGATCTGCCACTGAGGTCAGAGGCACAAATAGCACAAAGCCAAATCAAATAAATCCGTTAACCTGCTCGATCTATCCGTAGCGAGTTTGATCGACCTGCCACTGAGGTGAGAGGCACAAATAACACAAAACCAAATCAAATAAATCCGTTAACCTGCTCGATCTATCCGTAGCGAGTTTGATCGACCTGCCACTGAGGTGAGAGGCACAAATAGCACAAAACCAAATCAAATAAATCCGTTAACCTGCTCGATCTATCCGTAGCGAGTTTGATCGACCTGCCACTGAGGTCTCCAATAGGCTCCATGTCTTGACGACCCGACACTAGGATCGACCACCCAGCCCGGAGGCCTTAGTCATGGTGGGTTTTGTCTTCCCTCAACCTGCCACTGGGTTAGGAACAAATGTATAATGATAACAAACCAAATATAATCAAGAAGAAATCATCGACCTGCTTCCGAGGTCTGCTCGAACTATCCGTGTCTTCACGACCCAACACTAGGATCGACCACCCAGCCCGGAGGCCTTAGTCATGGTGGATTTTGGCTTCCCTCAACCTGCCACTGGGTTAGGAATAAATATACAATAATACCAGATCAAACAGAACCGAATAGAAATCATCGACTTGCCTCCGAGGTCTGCTCGAGCTATCCATGTCTTCACGACCCAACACAAGGATCGAACACCCAGCCCGGAGGCCTTAGTCATGGTGGATTTTATCTTCTCTCAACCTGCCACTAGGTTAGGAACAAATATACAATAATACCAGATCAAACAGAACCGAATAGAAATCATCGACCTGCCTCCGAGGTCTGCACGAGCTATCCGTGTCTTCGCACTTGCCCACCCAATCCGAGGGATGTTCGAAACAGGGGGTCAGTCTGCCCATCCCAAGGGGTGTACTAAACAAGTGACCACCCAGCCCGGAGGCCTTAGTCATGGTGGAATTTGTCTTCAGGCACTTGCCGACCCCGAGGGGGCCTATCGAAACAAGCGACCACCCAGCCCGGAGGCCTTAGTCATGGTGGATCTTTTTTCTTCAGGCACTTGCCCACCCAATCCGAGGGATGTTCGAAACAGGGGGCCAGCCTGCCCATCCCAAGGGGTGTACTAAACAAGCGACCACCCAGCCCGGAGGCCTTAGTCATGGTGGAGTTTGTCTTCAGGCACTTGCCGACCCCGAGGGGGCCTATCGAAACAAGCGACCGCCCAGCCCGGAGGCCTTATTCATGGTGGATTTTTTTTTCTTCAGGCACTTGCCCACCCCGAGGAATGTTCTAAACAGGCGACCAACCTGCCCACCCCAGGGGGTGTTCTAAACAAGCGACCACCCAGCCCGGAGGCCTTAGTCATGGTGAATTTTGTCTTCAGGCACTTGCCGACCCCGAGGGGGCCTATCGAAACAAGCGACCACCCAGCCTGGAGGCCTTAGTCATGGTAGATTTTTTTTCTTCAGGCACTTTCCCACCCCGAGGAATGTTCTAAACAAGCGACCAACCTGCCACCCCAGGGGGTGTTCTAAACAAGCGACCACCCAGCCCGGAGGCCTTAGTAATGGTGGATTTTTTTCTTCGACCTGCCACTGAGGTCAAACAGAAACACATCGAGCACAACAAGATATGATAGCAATTGATCATCTCCGTTAGTATCATCAAATGTATAATTGCGTCGAACGAGATAAAAAAATGTTGAATGTATTTTTCTACCTCCCTTTCCTGGTTGTGCATGGTATCGTGTGCTCGAATTCTTCGACCTGCCACTGAGGTCGAAAAGGAAAACATCGAATATGACAAGATATAATAACACCCAATCATTTTGTTAGTCATCCAAATAATAATCTCAACCATGTCGATATGCATCACAATCTCCTCAACAGTTTGTCCAGAGTACACAAAGAATGACCA